CCAGCTGCCTCACAAACCCCAATCCTGTACGCAGAGCTCATGGCCCAGCTCCGCAGTCCCTCATAAGTAAGGGGCTGGCTGCACAACCAGGTCCCCGGATGTTGAAGGAAAACTGCAGCTTACAGAAAACAAAGAACAGAATAAAGAGCAAAACTGCCTAAGCACTAAACAAAGGTAACTCTGGATACCGGAGATCTAATATGCTCCGAAAGTCATGCTATTGCATCCGTGTGGCCAAGAACAGCTGCTGTGAAAAAGGGACAATTAGAGACAAAGAAAGCTGTTGTTCACACACACTGAGACTTAAATGACAAGTTAGAGAATAAAAGCTTCAGGAGAGCAAAGAATTTCATGTTTGGTCACTGCTGAATCTTGAGAACCTCCAACAGTGTTTGGCAAATCACAGGTGATGAAAGGAGATGGGAAGCAAGAAAAAGAGAGAGAGGGGGAGGGAGGGGGGTTCTGAGAAAAAAAAAAATACCCAGAACGTACAGGAAGAGACGCTGCAGGTATGAACCTAAGGGGTCCAAAAGCAGATAGCATGGGGTTTGGAAACAAAGCACAGAAAACAGAAGAGAGGAATTATTCAAAGAAATTTCAGGAGCGCATTTCTGAAGCTGAAGAGACATGAGCATTCACTGAGAGACACAGAGTGCCAGGGGGAGGGATAGGGAAGGTCCACATTTAGATGTGTCACTGTGTCATTTGGACGCTACAGGTGAAGAGAAGATTCTCTATGATTCCACAGGAGGAGTGGAAGCAGAGCGCCCATACAAGGGGACGTCAAGCAGAATAACACCAGCTTTAGCGGCAACAATAGGTGCTTGAAGAGAATGAAGCAAAGCCTCTAAGTTCTTTTTTCTTTGAATTTTTTTAATGTTTTATTTATTTTTTGAGAGAGAGATAGAGACAGAGTGAGCAGGGGAGGGTCAGAGAAAGAGGGAGACACAGAATCTGAAGCAGGCTCTAGGCTCTGAGCTAGCCGCCAGCACAGAGCCTGACATGGGACTCGAACCCATGAACCGTGAGATTATAACCTGAGCCAAAGTCAGACGCTCAACCTACTGAGCCACCCAGGCGCCCCAAAGCCTCTAAGTTCTAAGGGGAAATTATTTTGAATGTAGAATTCCCTTCCAAGCCAAGCCAGCAGCTAAAGGTGGGCAAAGGTACCAATATTTTCACATGAAGGGAGAGACTCTGAGAGTTTATCCCTAGGGCACCTTTTCCAAAAAAGTGCTCCAGCAAAATGAGGTTAAAAACCAATAAAGGAAGATATGGGAGACTGAGAAACCTGGAGTTGACCCCAAGGGGCCAATAAAACAAATCTCAGTGCGGGAGTTGTGCAGAGGACCTAGAAAGTGAGGAGCCCAACGATCAGGTGATCGCTGAGCTCTAAGTGGGACGTTTCCCAAAGAGGAATGGAAGCGGGTCCCAAGTGGCAGGAAGGAAGAAAGTGGTTTTGGGAAAAGAGGACACATCGTTATCCTCTCCCCAGCAACAAAAAAGCCATCCAACTTCAGGAAAACATGGGAGGAAGGGGGGAACCCTGCCTAGGAGACCGTCCCAGATGAAGCGAGCCCAAATGTGGAGTGACTCAGGCAGTTGATAGAAGGGTCCACGTGACTGGACACTCTGGCCGCGCTCCTTGGTGGGAGGGCGCCAGAGTGCGTAGCCTGAAGGAGGTGCACCCACCACATGGCGCGCGGTTCGGCGGTGAGTCATCTTTACGTGAGTCATCCTAATCAAATTGTTGTTGACTGGTATTCCACGTTTAAAAGGAAGCTACAGATAGAGCAGGAAGGCTTGAGTGATGGTCACAGAACAGAATGTTCACATCGTCGACCTCGATAATATACAAGGGAAAGGTGTCACGGAGAAATGGGAGGGAGTCAAGGGGGGAAGGGCAGCCGTGTTAATACCCTCACCTTTTGGAGTGAGAGCCAAGAGATTCTGTCAAGAGTTGCATGAATAACAAAAAAAGAAGCTTAAATATAGTTTTAAGGGGGACCTGGGTGGCTCAGTCAGGTAAGCGTCCAACTTCGGCTCAGGTCATGATTTCACAGTTTGTGAGTTCGAGCCCCGTGTCGGGCTTTCTACTGTCAACACGCAGCCCGCTTTGGACCTCTGATCCCCTCTTTCTCTACCCCTCCCTCTCTCTTTCTCTCTCTCTCTCAAAAATAAAAAATAAAGATTAAACAAAAAGTTTAGGGGCATCTGGGTAGGTCAATCGGCTAAGCGTCTGACTTCAGCCCGGGTCATGATCTCACAGTCTGTGAGTTTGAGCCCCGCGTCGGGCTCTGTGCTGACAGCTCAGAGCCTGGAGCCTGTTTCAGATTCTGTGTCTCCCTCTCTCTCTGTCTCTCCCTCACTCAACACTCTATCTCTTTCTCAAAAATTAATAGATATTTAAATAATTCTTAAAAATTGTTTTAAGTTTAATAAATAAACAGACAAACAAAAGGTGTAACAGTCACCAAGAGAGGAATGAAAACAGTCCCGTTACTGGCAAAAACCGGTTAGGGGTAAGGAACACAAATGAGCTGCTCTCTCATCTACTACAGCAAGTTGTCACTGGGAATGTCCGAGGTGGAAAAATCAAGAAATGACAGCGTAAGAAGGGTACTGAGAAACTCAGGAGCACCTACCACATGATCTGGGGATGGAAATGGTTGAACGGGACTCCAGGGAACGGGGCTGGAATAGGAGCAGCAACTCTAAGGAGCTTCCACCCCAGACACTTCTAGACCGTCAGAAGCGTAAAGCACATGCAGTTACAATTTTGATTAATTTTAATGAATTTTTTAAAATATCCAAGTCAGGGGGCGCCTGGGTGGCTCAGGCGGTTGGGCGTCGGACTTCGGCTCAGGTCATGATCTCACGGTTCGTGGGTTCGAGCCCCGTGTCGGGCTCTGTGCTGACAGCTCAGAGCCTGGAGCCTGCTTCAGAGTCTGTGTCTCCCTCTCTCTCTGACCCTCCCCTGCTCATGCCGTCTCTCTCTCTCTCTCAGAAATCAATAAAAAACATTAAAAAAAAAACTTTAAAAAAATCTAAGGTTCACTACTATAGCATTAGCTGTATCTCTGTGTACTTTCCCGGTGTTAATACTTACCTACTGTTAAGCTTCTATTCTATTTTATTACCATGTAGCTTCTAGATCAACAGAGGTGAATTCTGGATTTCAGGTGTCACTTAATTTAAATTTATATATTGTAATTCACATCATCTAAAACATGTAGCTTTCCCCACACTTTCATGTCGCTGGAATCAGGATCAGTTCACGTAATTAGCAGGGTTTTTTGCTTTGTAGTATATTAATTATGGTGACTTCTTACAGTTAGTGGTGGCTTGGATTTGACGAAGTAGGATACTTAAGAGCAAATTATGTGTCTAGGTATTTTTCCCTTACATCACTTCATGTAATCGTAAACTGCCACATCTTTTTCTACTACTCTGCCCGCCTTCGTTACACTCCAGCCGTACGGTCCGTGGGGTCTTTTCCCAAATGCCGTAGGGCCTTTGGACCGGCTGCTCCTTACCTAGCCCGGGAAGCCCCTGCCCCTCCCCCCAAGTGGCTTGGCACACGGTTCCTCCTTCAGACCTGCAGTCCCAGCTTCAATGTCCCTTCCCTGGAGAAGCCTGTTGACCACACAGTCGAAATCTGCTCCACTGCCCAGAAGCACTTCCAATCATGTTACCCAGCTTTATTGTCATCAAAATACTTACCCTGATACCTGAATGCTTTTGTCTCTTTCCCCACTGGACTATAAGCTCCAGCACAGCAGTGCTCTCGCCCACCTGGTTCAATACCATATCCCAGCACCTAGAGCACAGGCTGACACCAAGGAGGTGCTTAAATACTTCCAGAATGAATATGTTAGGCCTTGGACACAATATATAACCATTTAGCAAGTAACTATGTTTCTAATCTCTAAATAACATCGTGCCCTTTTTTCTATGGAGAAAAATTTCCTATGTATAAATTCTTTTGTTAAGAGGTGCATTTCTGATCACTACCCAGGTAAGTATAATTTTATTTTTTATTTCTTCTTTTTAAATTTTTTTAAATGTTTTATTTCTTTCTGAGAGAGAGAGAGACAGTGTGAGCAGGGGAGGGTCAGGGAGAGAGGGAGACACAGAATCTGAAACAGGCTCCAGGCTCTGAGCTAGCTGTCAGCACACAGCCCGACGTGGGGCTCAAACCCACGAACCATGAGATCATGACCTGAGCCAAAGTCAGATGCTCAACAGACTGAGCCACCCAGGCACCCCTTATTTTTGATTTCTTTCAAATATTTTTTTAATGCTTGTTTATTTTTGAGAGCAAGAGTGAGACAGACCATGCGCAGGAGAGGAGCAGAGAGAGGCGGAGGCACAGAATCCGAAGCAGGCTCCAGGCTCTGAGGTGTCAGCACAGAGCCCAATGTGGGGCTTGAACCCACGAGCGGTGAGATCGTGACCTGAGCCGAAGTCAGATGCTATAGCATGAAATAATTTATACCACCTTTCATATGTTTGTACATATTCTAAATCCACCTACTACTGACTGGAACTGATAGCAAACAGGTAGCAAACTAGGATGAAAATAAAAAGGTTGTTTGAAAACCTCAAGCGTGTGATTACCTTTAAGTCTTTAAATTTTACGATGGGCTCCTGGGTGGCTCAGTCAGTCAAGCGTCCGACTCTTGATTTCGGCTCAGGTCATGATCTCCCAGTGCACAGGATTGAGCCCCATGTCGGGCTCTGCGCTCACAGCATGGAGCCTGCTTGGGATTCTTTCTCTTTCTGCCTCTCCCCCACTCACTCTGTCTCTCTCAAAACAAAAAAATACACATTAAAAAGAAATTTTAAGAAGAAAGAGTAGTCCTCTCTCCCAAAGGAAAGATGAAGTTAAAATACTATTTATATTTAAATTTTATTTCCCACAGTCCAGTTCAAAGGATTCATAGAAACAAAGTTAGTTTGGTATCGCAGAGCACCTAACATAATCAATAATGAACAAGTTACTGTCAGTTTCTTTGATACTTGCATTTTACATGTATGACAAAAGGGTAAAATAAAAAGGCTGAAACCCTGAAAAAGTGTTATTTGTCTGCTTTTTTTTTTTTATTTAAAAAAGACCATGATTCTTTGGGAGGTGATACAAGATTGCTTTCCACTCAGATCATGATTTCCACAATTTCCGTAATAACCATAAATTTGAAAGGCTCCCAGTCTCCCCGCCCCAATTCCCTTTTGGCACCTATATGTGAAATGTCACTTCCAAAAAATGGGGGGAAATGTGCTGAATACTGGCTTTTTATCACAGTACTCCTTTCCTGAGGAAAAGTTTTCTGGTTGCTAAGATTAGAAGATGGATATACAAAAAAGCTTACCACATCTCATCAATAAAAGCCTTTTCCGAACCAACTCTATGGCTGTCTCAGAAGAAAACTATATTAGAAACAGCAGCCAATTCTCAGAGGTAAAAGGGCAATGGCTTATCCTTTCCCACTTCTCATTTTAAATTTAGAATTACAGAGCAATTCTATGAGAGGTAGCAGAATGTCAGACACTGGTGCTGGCTTTGTGATTTGAGGATACAATTTGAACTCATCACATTCTTCAGAAGAGCTCATTATACCTAAAAGAAACAAAAGAAGAGGCTTGCTCAACCTCTGCATGCAGAGAGGTCGACCAGAAGGACACATCGGTTACCAGTGGAGAAGGAGGGGCCTTACCACGACTGGCCATTAGGGGAGGACACATCCAAAGATAGATTTTTTAATCTGATAAGAAGAGTGTGTCACGTATAAAGTATAAAATGCTACTCTGGAGTCTTCACTTAATCTACTAAAACAAAGCTTCTCTGCAAGAATCAGGATGCTACAGGACAGAAATAGCCAACACGCGTTGTCACTGGCTAATATTTAAGAATGAAGAATTCAACTTTTATTTTTCATAGGTGAGAAGGGTTTATGAGCTTGTTACTGATCTATTTGGCCCAATTCATATTCATTTTATTTTTCACTGCACTTCAAATCTACAGGGTATTGCTAAGAAACTGACTGCAAAAAAATCTCTGAATTTTTCAGTGTCATTAGGACTTAATGTCATTAGAACTTTTTTGAGTATTTCTGTTATGCTGATAAGAGTTGGGGAGAGTATTATCCTACCCACCTGTCCCCAAACCCAATAAAGTAGGACATTTTTATTTCAAACCAAAAGATGGTAACGTTACAAACCTAGGGGGGTGGGGGATAAGATGCTATGACAGCGCATTTCTCTTTAACTCTTGACTATTTCCTACTGATAGCACTACACACGTGATTAAACTTTTGGGAGGGAGAGGGGGAAAGAGAAGGAAACTCTAAAACCTCCCGACAAAGTAGCCATTCCAATGCATGGACAGGGCTTCTTTCTTCTGCCAGCCACTGGTTCACCAATATTTTCCCCATTTAAAGAAGTATGTGTGAATGAGGTTGGGAGGGCAGGGAATACATCAAGAAGTGGGCTATACTCTTCCCTTGAGGAGCCCGCCCTATGTCCTTAGCGGCCATTGCTTTGTCCGCCATCTTGGCATTCAGAGTAAGCAACATCTTTCTTTAAAACTTTTCTTGTTCTTGCTGCTTTTCTTGCCGTTCTTGTCTTTGTTCTCAGACATCTTTTTTGCTCTGATTTCTCTCATTAGGTCAAAGAACACCTGGGGTGGGGAGGAAGGAACGAAAAGAATAGGAAGGAAAAAGCCATTTAATGATTTCATGAAGCAATTCTACTAAGCAGGAATTTAAAGCATAAAGCAAGCTTATTTTTGTAAACCCTGAGCCAAAGTTTGCATTAGACTTTCTGGCATTTCCAACCACGAGGAAAGGTTAAGAAGAGGGGTACCTGCTGCTGAGTGCTTTCTTCTATATCCCCACACCTTATGTAACCCTGATCATGACTCTATAAAGGTAGGAACATCACTATGCCTGCGGCTTCCCCAGCAGGACCAGCAGACTTGGAACACGGTGGAACTGGGAGACGGGGGGATAAAGCATAAACAAACTAAGGCTCCTGCACTAGGAAACTGGGGACAGGAGCGGAGAGATGTCGCACTACCCCTCCACAAGCATGCCCCTACCCTCCCTCTCTCAGGAACAGCCACTGTTCCTTGCGATGTTAGCTGAAAGGAACTTTATCGAGAACTGATAAGACTTGTCCTCTGCATGCAGTGTGTTATTCAGACACAAATTATCATTTGTCAAAATAGTTTGGGTTTTGCCCTCTGCTCCCAGCAATCGGGCCGAAGTGCCCAGATACCCAAGCAGACAAAATAAGCCTGAGACAGAGAAACATCTCAGATTTCTCAGGGGGAGTGATAGAGACTGAAAGCATGTGGCTGAGTGCAGGCTTTAATCCTTGGATGTTCACACGAAACTACAACCTCCTTTGATTTTCATAGACATACCTTCTTCTTGGTGAAAAGGAAGGTTAACCTTTCTGAGTGGGGGGCTCCACGTGCATGTACCACCAGCTCCAGGCACAAAAAAGCCCCCCCTCCCCACAAAATGACCTAAGCACCCCGCCCACAAGAGCAGCGGCAGCGAACAATTTCAAATGTTATGGCTCCTTCATTTTGTTCTAACAGCAAAGGCAGAGGAGGATGGAATGTGTCCAACGTAAAATGATGACAAAGTTGTTCAGGGGCCGATCTTATCAACCTTCCGTGTAAACCGTGTACAAGTGAATACAATGCTGCCAGTGATAAATTTCTGTGGCGTCTGGTTTGGCAGGTCAAGCTGGTCCAGCAGAGGAAGGAGACGCAGCTACCCTGTGACAGCTCCCACCCCAGCACCCGGTCAGAAGCTATGCATCCCCGCTTCCGTGCCAAGAAAGCCTTCCCGATGTTTTTAAAATAAAATACATGTCTGGATTTCCTGTGCGTTTTCGACAACCAGGAAACAGAGATTTGGAACGGCACAGCAGCCAGCACCGAGAAATTATAGAAAAAATAGTGAGTGAACATGCTTCCCGTTACAGACAGATTTATATTGTAGACGCTACCAAAACGCTTCCGAAGTGAACGCTTTCTGGGGCACCTGGGTGGCTCACTCAGTGAGGCCTCTCTCTGACTCTTGATTTCGGCTCAGGTCATGGTCTCACAGTTGGTGAGTTTGAGCCCCACGTCACGCTCTGCGCTGTCAGGATGCTATTGGGATTCTCTCTCCCCCATCTCTTTCTGCCCCTCCCCCACTCATGTTCACTCACACCCGCTCGCTCGCTCTCTCTCAAAATAAAGGAACATTTAAAAAATAAATAAAATAAAGTGAACCCTTTCTGAGGAGAAATAATGACTGACACCACAGAAATAAAAAAAATTATTAGAGTATTAAAAAACCATATGCCAACAAACTGGACAACTGGAAGAAATGGATAAATTCCTGGAAATGTATAATCTTCCAAAACAAAATTAGGAAGAAATAGAAAATTTGAACAGACTGGTTACTAGTAACAAAATTGAATTGATTAAAAAAAAACAAAAAACCTCCCAACAAATAAAAGTCAAGGACCAGATGGCTTCAACAGTAAACTGCACCAAACATTGAAGAAGAGTTAACACCTATTCTTCTCAAACTGTTCCAAACAAAAGAAGAAGAAGGAAAACCTCCAAATTCATTCTATGAGACCAACATTACCCTAATATCAAACCCAGAGAAAGACTCCACAAAGAAAAAGAGAGAATTACAGGACAATATCTCTGATGAACACAGATGCAAAAATCCTCAACAAAATATCAGCAGACTTAATTCAACAATGGTTAAAAGTATCATTCACTTTGATCAAGTGGGATTTATTCCAGAGATATAGGAGTGGTTTGATATTTCCAAATCAACCAGTGTGATACATCACATTAAAAAAAGAAAGGATAAAAACCATAGAATCACCCTCAATAGACACAGAGAAAGCATGTGACAAAATACAACATCCATTCATAACAAAAACTTCCGACAAAGTGGGTTTAGAGGAAATATATCTCAATATAATAAAGGCCATATATGAAATATGCAAAGCTAACATCATACTCAATGGTGAAACTGAGAGCTTTTCTTTTATGATGAAGAACAAGAAAAGATGTCCACTGTCACCACTAGTATTCAAAATAGTACTGAAGTCCTAGCCACAGCGATCAGACAAGAAAAAAAAAAAAGGCACACAAATTAAAAGGGAAGAAGTAAAACTGTCACTATTTGCAGATGACATGATACCATGTAGAGAAAGCCCCAAAGATACCACACACAGAGACAAAAACGATTAGAACAGATAAATAAATTCAGTAAAGTTACAGGATACAAAATTAACATATGGAAATCTGCTGTGTTTCTATATACTAAAACGGAAGTAGCAGAACAAAGAATTAAGAAAACAATTGCACCAAAAGGAATAAAACACATAGGAGTAAATTTTACCAAGGAAGTGAAAAACCTATAGTCTGAAAACTGTAAGATGTTGATAAAAGAAATTAAAGATGACACAACAAAGAGAAAGATGTTTCATGCTCAGAGACTGGAGGAACTAACACTGTTAAAGTGTCCCTACTCCTTACAGCAATCTACAGACTCAGTGCAATCCCCACCAAAATACCAATAGTATTTGTCACAAAACTACAACAAATAATCATAGAATTTGTATGGAACCACGAAAGATGCTAAACAGCCAAATCAATCATAAGAAAGAAGAAGAATAAAGCTGGGGGTACCATAATCCCAGATTTCAAGATCTACTTCTCCCAAGCTGTAGTAATTCACCAGCACGGTACTGGCTCAAAAACAGACACAAAGATCAACAGAACGGGAGAGACGGCACAGACATGTACCCATGATTATAGGGTCAACTGATCTAAGACAAAGGAGGCAAGAATATGCAATGGGGGGAAAGCAGTCTTTTCAATAAATGCCATTGGAAAAACTAGACAGCTGCATGCAAAAGAATGAAACTGGACCACTTTCTTACACCACATGCAAAAATAAACTCAAAATAGATTAAAGGCCTAGATGTGAGGCCGGAAGTCATAAAACTCATCAAAGAAAACATAGGCATGAGCACCAGGTGTTGCATGGAAGTACTGAATCACTATATTGTACATCTGAAACTAGTATCATACTGTATGTTAACTAACTGGAATTTAAATAAAAACTTGAGGGAAAATAAAGAGAAAACACAGGCAGTTACTTCTTGGACATCAGCCTTAGCAACATATTTATGGATCTGTCTCTTCAGGCAAGGGAAACAAAAGCAAAAATAAACTACTGGGACTACACTGAAATAAAAAGCTTTTGTACAGGGAAGGAAACCATCAACAAAAGAAAAAGACAACTCACCAAATGAAAGAAGATACTTGCAAATCATATAGCCGATAAGGGGTTAATATCTAATAGGTGAAGAACTTAGACCACTTAACACCTAAAAACCAAATAATCTGATTTAAAAATACACAGAGGACCTGAATAGACATTTTAGCCTGGGAGACATAAAGACGGCCAACGGGCACAGGAAACGACACATCACTGATCCTCAGGGAAATGCAAACCAAAACCACAATGAGATAATCACGTCTCACCACCAGTTGGACAAGTATCTTGTCGAAAAGAAAAGAAGTGTTGACAATGATGCGGAGAAAACAGAATGCTCGTGCCCTGCTGGTGGGAAGGCAAACTGGTGCAGCCACTGTGGAAAACGGTGTGGAGGGTCCTCGAAAAATGAAAAATAGAACAACCATATGATCCTGTCATTGCACTACCGGGTATTTACCCAAAGAACATGAAAACACTAATTTGAAAAGATATACACACCCTGATGCTCATAGCAGCATGACTTCCAACAGCCAAATTATGGAAGCAACCGTAATTCCCAAAGTATGGAAGCAATCCATCGATAGATGAATGGACAAAGAAGATGTGGAACATACATACAATAGAATGATATTACTCAGGCATAAAAAAAGAATGGAATCTTGCCATTTGCAACAACATGGATGGACCTAGGGGGTATTTGTTCCCCTAACAAGACAGAGAAAGACACATGCCATGTTATTTCACTTATATGTGGAATCTAAAAAACAAAACAAACAACAAACACAGACTCAAATACAGAGAACAAACTGGGGGAAAGTGGGGAAAGGTGGGGGGATGGGAGTGTTAGATAAAGGAATTTGGGGGTGTGGGGGTGCCTGGGTGGCTCAGTCGGGTAAGCACCCAACTTCGGCTCAGGTCATGATCTCACAGTCTGTGAGTTCGAGCCCTGCGTTGGGCTCTGTGCTGACAGCTCAGAGCCTGGAGCCTGCTTCAGATTCTGTGTCTCCCCCTCTCTCTGCCCCTCCTCCACTCGCACTCTGTCTCTCTCTTAAAAATAAATAAACATTAAAAAATTTTTTTAAAGAGGGGATTTGAGATACAGACTTCTAGTTATAAAATAAATAGGTCACAGGGAGAAAAGCACAGCCTAGGGAAAACAGTCAACAACACGTAATAACGTGGTGTAGTGATGGACAATGGCCACACCTGTCATCGTGAGCACCAAGTAACATCAGGATTGTTAAATCAAGTTGCTGTGCACCTGAGGTAAATGTAACATTGTATGTCGATTATACTTGAATAGTAAATAAATCATTTAAAATAATAAAGTGAGCCCCTTCTAATACCAACATTCTAAATACCAATGTTCTTCTAGGATCATTTCAAGCTAAGACAAAGCTTTGGTCACAATCTTCCCTCTTCAGGTAAGAAGTAAAGGAGAATTATTTCCCCGTAAGAAAGAGCAACATAAGCAATTTGGGGACTCAGATGCTGATGCCACATAAAAGCAGATGTATCCGGTGCTTGGCTGCCAAAATGAAATGGGTTCAGATGTTACAAGAGCATGGATCACGAAGTCAGAGCTACAAACACGGTGAAGGAGGAAGGTAAAGCCTCCTCTCTAAGGCTGTCCACTCTCACTGTGTGGCAACCACTCTGAACCTCAGTTCTTTAGAACCCAAAACCTGACAGCGGCAATCACTGGGAGGTGGATCTTCCAGCTGTCAACGTTCATCACTGTCAAGGTCGCCCTTTCACTGGCTTCAGAGATTTGAAGGAGAAAGTATGCTGGGCATGGCTGAGAGAGAGAAGGGGAGGGGAAGGGAGGGGAAGGGAAGAGAGGTCCCTGGAGAGTCGATTCCTGAGAGCAAATGTTGTCTAGAGACTGAGTTATAAAGCACAACACCTTGGCTCTGCCGGCGGGCAGTAAGGTGAAAGGAGGAAATCTAACCTATAAGTCACGACCAGAAAGTCAAGGCACCCCGTGATTCCCTGGGGAGCCCCCACGAAGCTGCGGACGGACGTGCTCGTGGAGAACGTGGGCCATGGCGGATGAGAGCATGGGGGCTGCTGCGCCCGTCCTTCCCGCGCTGGCCTCACTGACCCACGGTCCCGGTCACACTGCCATATGTCCCCAGGCCATGCCAGCAAAGGCCCGAGGCTAAGGGAGGGGACTCTGGGTTGGTTTACGTTCACGGCCAGACTGTCCTGGGGCTTCCCCTACACTGACTGAGACACCTAGAAAAATCAGCACCCCCTGCTTTCCGCAAACGGTTCCCTCAAAACCCAACAGATGGGACGTCCCCGTCCTGCTGTTTTCTAAGAACCACGTGCAGAGCAGAGCGCACACTGACCTTGTCCACGTTGGCCCGCGTTTTAGCCGAGGTCTCCACGTACTGCACGCCCCACTCCTCTGCTCTCGGCCTGGCCTCGTCGACGGGCACCTGCCTGCGCTCCTCCAGGTCGGACTTGTTTCCCACCACCAGCAACGGAATTTTATCTTCTTCGGCCTTGACGCGGAGGATCTGTTCCCTAAGACATTGCATCAAAAGACAGCAGCTCAGAAAGCTAGACTACGACTCCACTCCATGGACGGACTCATCGAAAATGAAAGGCTTTTGAGGACATCCAGATGGCCAACAGACACATGAAACGATGCTCAGCATCGCTCCTCATCAGGGAAATACAAATCAAAACCACACTGAGATACCACCTCATGCCAGTCAGAGAGGCTAAAATGAGCAAATCAGAGGACTCTAGATGCTGGCGAGGATGTGGAGAAACGGGCACCCTCCTGCACTGTTGGTGGGAATGGAAACTGGTACAGCCCCTCTGGAAAACAGTGTGGAGGTTCCTCAGGAAACTAACAATAGAACTCCCCTATGACCCAGCAATAGCACTGCTAGGAATTTACCCAAGGGATACAGAAATGCTGAGGCATAGGAGCACATGACCCCAATGTTCATAGCAGCACTCTCCACAATAGCTAAAACAAGGAAAGAGCCTAAGTGTCCATCAACGGACGAATGGATCAAGAAGATGTGGTTTATCTATACGATGGAATATTTCATGGCAATGAGAAAGAATGAAATCTGGCCATGTGTAGCAACATGGATGGACCTCGAGGGTGTTATGCTGAGCGAAAGAAGTCAGGCAGAGAAGGACAAATACCATGTGTTTGCAGGTATAGGTGGATTAGGAGGAACTTAACGGAGGACCATGGGGGAGAAGAAAGGGGGAAATAGTGGGGGAAAGGGAGAGAGGCAAACCATGGGAGACTCTTGAATGCTGAGAACAAACTGAGGACTGATGGGTGTGGGGGGAGGGGGGATGGGCATGGAGGAGGGCACTTGTGGGGATGAGCACTGGGTGTTATGTGGAAACTAATTTGACAATAAACTATTTGTAAAAAAAAAAAATTAAAAAAAAAAAAAATAAAATGAAAGGCTTTTCTCGCGCGGAAAACATGGTTACCCTCAGGGCAGGCCCCAGGGCAGCTTTTGAAAACAAGTGTTTTCAAAGCGTGGTTCTCAGGTTGCCTACACCGGAAGGACCTGGGGTGCTCGTCACAAACACGGATTTCTGGGCCCAACAGGAACCCCACAGAAGGAATGTCTGAGTCGGAGCCCAGGATTCTGCGTTTCATCGAGGTCCCCAATTGAGGCTTAGGCACCAAAGCTTCTTAACAAAAAGAACAACCTGGGAACCTCTGGGATAAAAAAAACAAGCTAAAAGAAGTGTCTTCGGGGGCACCTGGGTGGCTCTGTCAGTCAAGTGCCCAACCCGTGATCTCGTTTCAGGTCATGGTCTCACGGTTAGTGAGTTCAAGCCCTGCATCAGGCTCTGTGCTTCCAGCATGGAACCTACTTGGGATTCTTTCTCTCCCCCTCTCTCTGCCCCTCCCCCGCTCACACTAGCTCGCTCTCTCGGTCTCTTGAAAGGAAGGAAGGAAGGAAGGAAAGAAGGAAGGAAGGAAGGAAGGAAGGAAGGAAGGGAGGGAGGGAGGGAGGGAGGGAGGGAGGGGGGAAGAAAGAGAGAAAGAAAGAAAGAATCTTCGTACATAAAATGCTTAATAATTCCCCTGAAAATATGGTATGATTTCTTTGTGAGAATAACAGCTGTGAAATCAGCGGTTTTCATCTGGAAGGTGGGAGTCTATTAGCAGATCATGATATCAGTTTAACAGGTCACAACCAGATGTGTTTTTTTCTCTCAGTGGAACAGAGCACTATGGACCAGAACACAAACATCAGAGGGGATCTCAAGTATTACATCAGGTATGGTTTTGTGAAACTTCTCTTTCGATTACATCTATGTGTGTGTGCACCTACCACCCCCCGCAAACAGCGTCCACTTAGATACAGTAAATGTTACAAGCAATGGAATGAGGTCAGTTAACATTAGGCAGGAATCATATTTTGTTCTGTGTTGTTTTTTGACTACAAATTAAAAAAAAGGGGGGGGGAAGGAAAGGAAAGAATCCAATATCTATGGAAAAGTACTTCAAAAACATCTCCTTAAAAAAAAACATTAACTGTAACACCTTAAATTTTACCTCTACTAAAACTACCAGCTACCTAAGTTACGAATCAATACCAAATATTTAAAAAATAAATATTCCATTTCCATTATTTTGGTCTAGTGAAGACATTTCAACTTCTACATTCCAATATACTCCAAAAAGGGACCACTTCAAAAGTATATTTTGTGGAGATCTGTACTGATTTCTATATGATATAGGGTAACTTTTCATAATAATGAAAATATTAAAAATGTTTCCATTAGATTCAATTTAAGTATCAGATATCAAATATTTTAAGAAAAACCAAAAAGAGGTAGATGCTTAAAAATTGCCCCTAAGTAGCTTTGCTATAGCCTACATTTCAACTAGGGGTCAAAGAACAGGCCACATTTAGAAGTTATGCGATCAGCACAAACTTTGAACAAGAAAAACCAATAATTCTCTGGCTCATTAGTCATGCAGAGGTTTGTAAAATTATCTCATTAATAAACATATTCATCCCAAAATAGGAGCACTGGCTCTGGTCTCTTAGAAAAAATCCTAGTTTTCGAGCTTATCGAATACTGTTCAGGGCAAGGTTCAAGGAAGACAGAGCGTATTAACATTTTGTTTTGTTTTGGGCCTTTTCCATAAATACCGAAAGCTATGTCTGCAATCTGCTAACCAGCGTAAACTGAGTTTGACCACAAAGGCTCAGATGCCCTACCTCCTTTCTTCTGGGTCTGACGCCGTGAGAAGCCTGGACAGTCCTGTGCCTTTTCTCTGAATGCCCGGAGTTCAAGTCAGAAGAACTCACCGGCCCTTCCTTTTTCTTTCAGGCAGTCATCTGTGCTTTTTCTTCTAGGGGGTCCCTGCTCTCACATAATGACCGAAACCCACCTCCCGAGATGAGACGAGGCTCTTCTCCAAATCTCTGAGAACACATAAGAACTGGGGGTGGGGGGTGCAGGGAGACAGGATGAGGGTGGCATCATCTGTCCTCTGGACGGGACTCTCTCACTGCCCACCACGTCCTTTCTGGGTGAGTCATGGGGTAATGGGAAATCAAAAGGCTCAGGACATGCAAGAAAATAAGGAAGTGTGTGCATCTGGTCTGCTTTATCCTCAGGGATGGATAAAAACACGATGACACAGATGCAGTCACAATTATGAGTACTGTACCCACAAAGAGAAAACTCTAGGCAAGTCGGGGAAGTCTGGGAATTAACAGGTCTTCTCCTAAGAGTCCTGGCCACTTAACTGATCGCCCCCACGCACACCACAGTAGCGGAGAATTTACATGGTCTGCCTTTGAAGACTTAACACTAGGAAGCAACTGACCACCACTACATTGACCTGGGTTCACCCCGTGAGGCCCCCCCGGCTCACTGATGCTTCCTTCCAAATCTTGGGGGGATATTTAGTTTCCTCACTTTCACCTTTGGTTGACCCCTTGATTTCTGACCAGAACTTGCTACAGAATGAAAAAAAAAAAGGTGGATTTCCCCGCCTTTTTAGATCCCTGTTAGACGCTAGATTCAGCTCTTAAAATCAGAAGTCATCTGGGCAGATGTGCTTATAAGGAGAGTAGAGGAAAGAACGCAATTGTATAAGAGAAACGAGAAAAGCATGCCGGGTAAAGAGAAAGACACCGTCCCCACTGGAATTCCTCTAAGAACTTCTGTAGAAGAGAATGAACGTCAGGTACCTTTAACTACTGCACTTAAAATGAATCACAGCGGTTCATATCCTACTCACGGCATAGGCACCATGTGACCACGCGGAAAGGGGGCCTGGGGACATGGCACAGTGCGGGGTGGCGTGGGTCCTGCCCTTCCAAATTTACAGTCTAAAGCATCGTTTCATTTCATCTCATCCACTAACAAGTACACCCTCAGACAGACAGACAGACTCTCCAATGCTTAGCATCCCCAGACTGCTACGTGGTGGCCAGGGCGAGGATTCAGACCAGGTCTGCCTGGTTCTAAAGCGGGACTCTTCCGACTCGCGTAGGTTCAAATCCTATGGGAGCCGCAAACGGTCACTCTGACTGGCATCCTTCCCTCTCCTGACAACGTTTCATCAACCTCAAAACAGACCAAATGTATCACTTCACCAGCCAAATGATAAAAAGGATAAAGATAGTTAACCCATGCATCACTGTCCCTCAGGATTTATATGAAAACGAAATTCGAAGTTCTTGAGTACCTGAAATGGCTTCGTCCTCTTAAGATTCTTCTTTTTTTTTAACGTTTATTTATTTTGAGAGAGAAAGAGAGCACAGGTGTGCACACACGATCAGGGGAGGGGCAGAGCGAAAGGGAGAGAGAGAGTCCCAAGCAGGCTCCGCGCTGTCAGCGCAGAGCCTCAGGCCAGACATCTGACGACCCTGAGACCATGACCTGAGCTGAAATCAAGAGTCCGAGCTTCACCAACTAAGCCACCCAGACGCCCCATCGTCAAGATTCTTAAGGTAATTTATATTCAAAAATGTTAAAAACAGGGAAGTTCAAAGAGATAATAACAAATGGTGGGCTCTAATGTGCCAATATTCAAAAAGCTCCAGAAAATTCATTAATGAAATTCTTCTTAATAACAAGCCCAACCCTCTGTTACTCTGCTCAGCCCCAGATTCCTGCCAGGCTGAACATGCGAGAAAGACGGGCAGAAAGTCTCCTGGAGTCTGGGGCTCTTTCAGCTCAAACCTACCTGAATTCGGCAGTTGCTGTAAAGGACTCATGTTCTGTAATGGAGAACACCAGCAGGAAGCCTTCCCCGCTACGAAAGTAGTTGTCTCGAATGGCCGCATAGTCCTCCTGTCCGGCCGTGTCCAGAATATCTATCTGGACTTCTTCGCCATCAAGAACCACCTTCTTTCTGTAACTGTCGGCTTTGGTAGGCTCATAGTCTTCCACAAACTGAGGAAACGAACAACATCACCAGTCATTAACAAAGTGTTGAGGGAAAGAAAACTTGCCAAAGAAATAAATTTCAACATAGGGGCACTTTGCCTATAATCAACTGAATATTTACTGAGAATTCATAATGATCACACTACGTTTAAGGTATTGTAAAAATAAAGTCCTTCGTTAACACTTCTGTTCTTTATTGCTCTCGGTTCTACTGTTTTTTATTTTGTTCTTATTTTTTTTAATACAATTTATTGTCAAATTGGCGAACATACAGTGTGTACAGTGTGCTCTTTGTTTTGGGGGTGGACAAGGTCCGATATTCCCATTTTATAGATGAAGAGACCAAGCATAGGGCAGAAGGAACACTTGGTGATACTATTCTCGGTATAAAATTATGATATAAACACTGGCAAGAGTGAGAAACAGAAGCTCTTACACAAAATCAACCAAAGTATAAAACTCATCTGAAAAGCGATTTGACGAGAGAGGACTAAGAGGCTTAAAAATACAACATAAACTTCAAATGGGTCAAAGATACAATATAAAAAATAAACCCATCAAGCACCAGAAGAAAACATGGGTGAAATCCTTTTATTACCTTGAAGTAGGGAAGGCCTTTTTAACTATGACTCAAACTCCAGAAGCCATGGAAGAAAAAATTGATAAATTAGACTACGTAAAAAATTCATTAAACTTCCATATGGCACAACACACTATTAAAAAAAAAAAAAAGACAAATGACAAACAGGGAAAGAGTATTTGAACCCATATCACAGAGAGCTATATTTAAACAGTTCCTAGAAACAGAGAGAAAAAAAAAAGTCAACAATCCAATGGGAACAAATGGCAACAGACATAAACAATTCACAGAAAAATAAATACACAGGATGCTAATCATACAAAACGATGTTCATCCTCACTAAGCTTTTAAGTACACGGAGATACCGGTTTTCACCTACCAGACCGGCAAAACCCCCAGCGTCGGACAACAAGCTCTAAGGGGAAAACCCTCTTGCACACGGCTGGTGGGGGGAGAGAACAGTACAGTCCTTATGCGGTGAATATGGTTAAGTGGAGAGGCACTCCTCTGTGCCAGCACCCAGCTTCTAGGAATCTAACCTACAGCAGCATACAAGGCGATCACCGTGGCGCTGTGTGTAACAGCAAATGATTAATAACCACCCAAATGCCCAACAGCAGGCACCCACCGATGGAATACTATACAGCTATAAAAATGACAAGGAGAACCACGTACAGATACATAACAATCTCTGGAATATAACAGTCTACCTTTTGCACAAGGAAAAGAGGGAGTATAAAGAATAAGATAGGTGTGGGTGAGTATATGTAGCTGTTTTTATATGTATATATGCCTTAATAGGTGCATTTATGCATATGTACATATGTATTTACATATGTACATTCCCTAAAAGGACAAACAAAACAAATGTAAAAGTTGTGAAACAGAAACACTGAAGCAAATGAACCCGAATGAATATTAAAATGGTTATACAGCCACAAAGAGAACTAATTCAAGAGACTTTAGTACAGAATATTTTGATAGTATGCATCCCACTCAGAGAGGCTAAGGACAAAAAAAAATTTCAAAAAATGCTAAACTTCTCTTAGTGATTATATTACTGAGTAATAACGATATTAGTATTTCAATGCTATATTCTTTATATTGTGGTATACATCAAATAACTATAAATCATTATCTTAATGATGTCAGAAGTACAGATATTCAGAAAAAAAAACTTAATTAATGACAGCAATGTGCCATTAAAATAGAATTGGTGAGGGGTGCCTGGGTAGCTCAGTTGGTTAAGTGTCCGACTTTGGCTCCAGTCACGATCTCGGGGTTTGTGGGTTTAAGCCCTGTCTCGGGCCCTGTGCTGACAGCTCCAAGTCTGGAGTCTGCTTCAGATTCTGTGTCTCCCTCTCTCTCTGCCCCTCCCCTGTTGTGCTCTGTCTCTCACTCTCAAAAATAAATAATAAAATATTTTTTTCAAATTAAAAAAAAAATAGAATTGATGCTGGTTTAAGCAGATATCCAGATGCAAAAGAATGAAGTTGGACCCTTACTTCACGTCACATACAAAACTTACCTCAAAATGGATCAAGACCGAACTATAAAAACTAAAGCTATAAACTCTAAAAAGAAAACATAGGTATAAATCTTTATGACCTTGGATGTGGCAAGGCATTCTTAGATAGGACATCAAAAGCACGAGCAACAAAAGAAAAAGTAGGTAAATTGAACTTCATCAAAATGTAAAACTTTCATGCTTCAAAGGACATCATCAAGAAAGTTAGAAGATAACCTATAAAATGAGAGAACATATTTGTAAATTATAAATTTAAAAGAGACTCATATTCAGAATACATAAAACACTCTTAAAGCTCAACAAGAAAAAGACGAACAACCCAATTTAAACATTTAGACAAAAACCCTGAACAAACGTTTCTCCAAAGAAGATTTTCAAGTGGCCAACAGGCACGTGAAACGAGGCCTAACACCACCAGTCATTAGGGAAATGCCGACCAGAACCACAATGAGATACCACTTCATACTCACTAGGAGGTATCATCAAAACGAGACAATATCAAGTGTTGGCAAGGATACAGAGAAATCGGAACCCTGGCATGTTGCTTGCGGGATTATAAAATGGTACAGCTGCTATGGAAAGAAGTCATGCACTTCTCAAAAAGTTTTACATAGAGTTACCATATGACCCGGCAAGTTTCATGCCTCAGTATACTTACGCAGGAGAATTTAAGACATAGGTCTACATAAGAATGTATACACAAACGTTCACAGCAACAATATTCAAAATAGCTAAAAAGTCAAAACAATCCAAATGTCCATCAAGTGGTGAAAGGATCAACAAACAGCATACCCAGACAATGGAGTATTATTCCATGATAAAAAGGAACGAAGTACTGATACGGATAACAACATGGATGGGCTTTCAAGACATTGAAAGGAAGCCTGATATAAAGATCACATAATGTAGGATTCTATTTATGTGAAATGTCCAGAACAGGTAAATCCATAAAAACAGAAAGCAGTTGCCAAGAACGAGATGCAGAAGCAGGAGAGGCAGTAATGAGGAAAGACTGCTAATAGTAGAGTGTTTTCTTCTCCTTTGTGCAGTGAGTAGATTATTCTAATGTTACATAATGGTGATGGCTGGCTGGCTGTGTGACTATACTCAAAAATCATTGAAATGTACGCTTCAAAAGGATGGATATCACAGTATATGAATTATAACTTAAAAAACTAATTTAAATGTTTAAAATTTTAAAATCTAAATTGAGGGGCACCTGGGTGACTCAGTCGGTTAAATGTCCAACTTTGGCTCAGGTCACGATCTCACAGTTCATGGGTTTGAATCCCACATCAGGCTCTCTGCTGTCAGCAGTGGCCAGCTTTGGATCCTCTGTCTCCCTCTCTCTCTCTGCCCCCCCGCCCCCCACTCATCCTCTCTCTCTCTCTGTCTCAAAATGAAATAGAGCATTTTAAAAGAATTGAGATTATTGTTATGAACTTAATAGGCCCTTTGAAGAACACCCTCAAAAAGAGCCTTGTGCTGCTGATTAAGAGCTACTGGTTCAGATGACTGTAAGGCCCAAAATTTAAAAAAGACAAGATTTTTAGTATTAGGTTCTTAAATTTGTACTAATAGTTATCTTAAACTAGACAAAATGTGAAAATTGACCTGTGTTTCACAACAGTGTCTTTTTAACTCCTTTCCAAAGAGACAAATCCATGACCCCAAAAAAACCCAACCAAGGGGTGCAAATCTCCAAATATCACCGCCATAAAGCATCTCAAGCGTGTATTTCTGAGCTTTCAAGGTTAAAACCGGTGAGAGTTCCCTAGACTTGCTGGATACAGGATGTCAGAATGTCCTGATAATACTGCATTCCTCTGTGTCAGTGAAAAGTGTGCAGATTATTAGAACATAGATTGTAATCTTGATGTTTTTGCTTTTCCACTAGAAACAGGAAATCCCTGCAGTCTTGGTATCTGTTAAGACGCCCCCTCACTCCTGGCCTTACGGGGCTGCGTGTGAGTCCATTTCAGCTGCGCAAAACACACAGATCTGAGGGATTTGTCTTTGAGGTGACTTAGCTGGTCACTGACGGTCTGTTGTGGTGGCTGCCAAGGTCCCCCATCACCAACCTCCAAAGGTCCATAGCGTTAGAGGTCTTCAAGTATGTCAGGTCAAGGACAAAAAGATTAAGATCTTCCTCCAATTTTTCTCAAAGTCAGACCTCAGCCAAAAATAAAAACTTCTGGGATCACTGCCGCTCACATAATCCAACCCTCGCAGCTATTTCACCATAGAAGCTTATTTATTATTTTTTGTAACTTAGGGTAAAGCACTGGACCAAGAATGAAGGATGTGGGTAGACTTTAGGTAACTGACATCCCGAAGCACAGGACTGTTCCCTTTTCTGTGAAACCAGGCTTGACCAGGTGATGTCTCAGGCAGGAGTCACCACACTCACTGGGACAGCTATGCCTAAAAAGAGTTTCCCCATTTTCAACTCTAGGAATGTCATTCAGAAGGTGTTGTTTTTTTTTTAAAGGTCTATGATTCTATGATAGGCTAAGTTTGGGAATCACTGTGAAGATCTCTTCCAGCTCCAAAACTACGATTCCAGAACTCTACTGCCCAACATAGTAGCCACTAGGCCACGTCCGCTGGAGTTCAACAGCCACATGCATAGACGGTATAGATACAGAACATTTTCAGGGCAGCGGAATGTTCTAGTGGATGGACAGCATTGCTTTAGGAAATCAATTCAAGACTTCTCTGAACATACATGAGTCCATCTCTATTCTTTCCTTGCTCTCATGTTACCATTTCTTCAACAACCACTGCTCTCCAGTCCCCAAATATGTTAGCTTATGAAAAAATAGGCTAAGATCGAGCCTAGCTTTCCCTTGTTTCTCCGAAGATAGCAGGACAAAATTCTTCTGTGCGCATCTTCCCCACACCGCCACCCCCCCGCCGCCACTTAACACACATACACACATACATAATAAAAATGAACATCCAGATTCAACTCTCCTGCTAGTTGGCCTCCCCCAGCGTCAGCTGTGCTGCAGATAAGACTATTTGGGCTGGATGATTCTCTGTTGTGAGGTCTCTCTTGTGTGCGGTAGCATGTTTAACATCATCGCCGGCCCCTACCCACTAGGTGCTAGTAGTAACTGCCCCCAGTTGTGACACTCAAAAGTATCTCCGGACAGGGGCGCGTGGGTGGCTCAGTCTGTTAAGCGTTCGACTTTGGCTCAGGTCATGATCTCACAGTTCGTAGGCTCAAGCCCCGCCACGGGCTCTATGCTGACAGCTCAGAGCCTGGAGCTTGCTTCAGATTCTGTGTCTCCCTCTCTCTCTGACCCTTCCCTGCTCACGTTGCCTTTCTCTCTCTCTCAGAAATAAATGAAATATTTTAAAAAAAATTTTTTAAATATATCTCCAGACATTGCCAATGATTGATTCCCTACGGAGACAAAAAGAAAAAAAAAAAAAAAGTCCTCTTCTAATCCAGTCTCTATCTTAACTCTGCTCCCCACCCTCTCCTCTTCCGAGCCTGCATAGAAGAAGAAGAATTTTTAGTAGCAAATCATGTTATTAATCAAAAACAAAGACTTCCAAAGTCATTTTCAAAACTTGTTGCTCCTCATTTATGCAAAAATGTTTGGGGTCAATCAAGCAGATTCTGCTAGATTTCCCCATTTGGCCCTTAGTATAAGATAAAGAGAAACAAACATCAAAGACAATATTTTTTCATTATAAGACACAGAAAGGAATGATCCCGGAGGAAATCAAGGTTTTGGTCTGAAGCGTGTTCATCTTGGGGCCCCTCTTTAAGGAAAGAATAAAATATTACACACATAATATTGGATATAAAAGTCAGTATCTAGAGTGAGAAAAGAAATCATAATCCATATAAAATTTTTTTTTTAAGGACAAATACTGGAGGCACCTGGGTGGCTCAGTTGGTTGAGCGTCCAACTTCAGCTCAGGTCATGAACTCACGGTTCGTGGGTTTAAGCCCCATGTGGGGCTCTGTGCTGACAGCTTAGAACCTGGAGCCTGCTTTGGATTCTGTGTCTCCCTCTCTGTCCCTCTCCCAGTTGTGTGTGCTCGCTTGCTCACTCTCTCAAAAATAAATAAACATTTTAAGAAATAATTTAAAAAAAAAAACGGACAAATACCGTGGCCAATATACCCTCAGGTGACCCTCAGTGAGTCACTCCCTGGAATGTTACTCTCCCTTTAAATACAGAGGAATCTGTAACTGGCTTCTAACCAACAGAATATGGCAATGACCATGAGATCACCCCATGATTACATTTCCTTATATAAGAATCTGTCTTAGCTAACCAGAGACGCTCTTCCTGGCCTTGAGCAAGCAAGCTGCCACAGTATGAACTACCTATGGAAAGGACCTGGAAGCAAGGACCTGTGGGCCTTCATCCCGTGTCTGCAAGAAACCGAACTTTGCGAGCACCCGGAGCTCGGAAGGGGACCCGAGCCTCAGCCGGGCTCCCAGCCACCACCAGCACTGACTGTGGCCTTGTGGGACCCCGGGCAGAGCACCCCACTAAGCTGTGCCAGACTCCAGAGCCCTGGAAACCATAGGTAACACATACGTGTTGATTCAAGCTGCTCAATTTCTAGTAATGTGTCACATGGCATAAGAAAAACAATACAGGGGCATCTGGGGGGCTCAGGTGGTTAAGCGTCTGACTTCAGCTCAGGTCATGATCTCAAGGTTTGTGGGTTCAAGCCCCGTGTTGGGCTCTGTGCTGACAGCTAGCTCAGAGCCTGGAACCTGCTTCCAATTCTGTGTCTCCCTCTCTCTCTGCCTCTCCCCCACTCACACTCTGTCTCTCAAAAATAAATAAATGGAAAGAAAAAAAATTTTAATTAAAAAAAGAAAACCAGTACAAATACCACTTATATCACAAAATCCAGCAAAATAACATATTTTTTTTATTAATTAACTGCCTGGCATAACTCTAGAATACCTTCCTACTGGTTTGTTTGTTCACTGCATACTCTTTGATTATCTCGTCATATAGGCCAACGATTGTGTAATATTTCCTATAGGGAATAAAAAACAATTTAGTCTTGTCTTATAGCATAATTGGTCCCAATTTCTCTTTTCTTGGAAGTTTAGAAGGATTTTCTTCAGCTTCACAATGACTTCACACTACTAGTAATAACAGGTTTAGGACTATTGTCAAATTTAGGAAACCTCTATTAAACTTCCCTGTAAGAAACTATAATATCTGGAAGAACTTTCCCGACCAGTTTCTCGCTTCACGTCTCTATCCTTGTTTCTCGAGAACTCTACGCCCCACATCTTTCCAGAGCCTGGTGCCACAGGACAACACTCACACCATGATAACCTTCTGACCCTGCCCCTCCCATCGCAGTGCCAGGTGAGTCAGCAGAGTGGGTGGTGGGAATATTCCAGGAAGCCATCCCTGCAGCGAAATGGCTAGTAATAACTTAACCACATGCCGAAGTGACTCCAAACCACAGAAATAGAGACCACTAATTCCCAGCTAAATATATTCTTAGCCCAACTTCCCTCAGCTAGATCCCAGAAATGGCCATTGCCATTCCACCACCACCCAACAGAAGAGGAAGTTGGAAGAGGGCAAGTCTAGTGAAGATCAGATAATGATCTTCACCGACTCTGATGACGGGTATCTTCCTTTCACAAATTCTGTAAAGCACACACCCATGTGAACATGACGCGATCTCTGGTCAGAACACTCTGCCCATGGTGCCAGCCAGCGGCCATCAGGCAGGGATATTTATTGCCACAGGAATCAAAACTGTTTGTTGCCTTGGACTCAGCACCAGTTCCATTAACCACGTTTAGTGACATAAATGTGGGGCAAGGATGGTGAGAGCTTCACTTTGCTGCATGGCAGAACTAGAGAGAACCTGATGTCTATGGCCTTGAGAAAATGTCTCTATGTCTCTCATATGTCTCTACGTCTTGAGAAAAGAGTGTTTTATGACAGCTTAGCTCTCCCTTTCATTATTGCCCAAAATGGACTGTCACAAAGCTAAATCTGACCTGTTCTTTAGAAACATCTATATAAAAGTCCCTTCCTCTTCCCTTGCTCCTGTCAGAAAGCTCAAAGGATAACACTGGAAATCATGCAAGCAGGGACCCCTCACATCCCTGCCAGAGGTGAAATTATTTACCAAAAATCAGCAGCCCTGATCTCATGAGCGTTAGACCCTCTACAAAGCTGTTCAGAAACCACATTACATAGATTTGCCTCGTGGTCCTCCATGCATGTGGGGTAATGAGCACATGAACACAGCTGGAGAAGGGACATTATGACAGTGGACTCGAGGATGAAAGCTATGTCTGCGCCTGGCTTGTCTTACCTCATCGTACATGAACTGAAGCGTCAGGGCCGACTTGCCTACCCCTCCGCTGCCGACCATGATCACCTTGTGAAGGGCCAGGGAGCTCTGGCTCTTACTCTTGTTTGCCGCCATGCCGCTGGTTGTCTCCGGTCACGACACACGAACAGAAGACCCAGGTGAAGAGCTGCCAAGGAATGAGACAAAGACTTAGAGGCAGTTTGACTTCTACCCATTAAAATAAAATGAGATCCATATGCACCAGGAAAGCCTAACCCAGACATTCCGACAGAGAAGCAAAACTTCTAGGTTCCAGGCAGAGATAAAACAATCCTTCCAACCCCAGGGGTCATTTATCATAGCAGAGCCTGAGAGAAAGCGGGCAGAGAGAGGAAAAAAAATGGCACCCTATGCCTGTATCACTGGGGCATGTGGGGACGACAACTGGACGCTAAAAATCGACACATTCTCAAAGGTGCTGCTCTGAGGCAGAGTGATCAGAGAGCTCAGAGCCCCATGTTTCACCTCTCCCCCACGTCACCTGGTGCCACAGACCACACCAGCACTCAGGGGACTCAATTTCTACCTCTATTCTCACTCCTCACCTCCCCTTCCTGATACACACACTCCCACAGCCCCCCACGGGGGCCATGGAGCTACTCTGCAAGGAGATGAGTAAATGCAGTTTTTATCATAAGTACCCCTTTGTGACACATGATAGAGCTAAAAGAAAGAGAACTAAAGTATTTTCTTCAAGTGTATTTGAAGTGGTGAACTAAAATGAGTTGAATTTGGGACACCTGGGTCTCTTGGTCAGTCGCATCTGACTCTTGGTTTTAGCTCAGGTCATGATCTCACGGTTTGTGGGTTCGAGTCCTGCATCGGTCTCTGCGCTGACAGTGCGGAGCCTGCTTGGGATGCTCTCTCCCGCTCTCTCTCTGCCCCTCCCCCACGCATGCGCAAACGCACACATTCTCTCTCAAAATAAATAATTTTTTAAAATTTATTACTTTAAAAAAATTTTTTATGTTTTATCTTTTTGTGGGGGAGGGTCAGGGAGAGTAGTACAGAGGATCTGAAGCAGGTTCTATGCTGACAGGCTGACAGTAGTGAGCCTGATGTGGGGCTCAAACTCACAAACCATGAGATCATGACCTGAGCTAAAGTCGGGCGCTCAACCGATTGAGCCACTCAGGTGCCCCTAGAAAAATTCTTTTAAATAAAACAAGTTAAATTCTCCTACAATGACAGTTGATCAAAATCAGTTTAACCTCTTCAGATGTGAGATAAAAGGAGGAGGGAATCCCTGGCACTGTAGGAAGATCAAGTATTCCAAATAAGTGAATTTAATAGATAACCTGGAATTGATTTTAGTTCCAGGACCAATTTTTATCTTAACCAGTTTGTATGAGAAAGCCTGTGTCACATACACACCACAGAGTGAGGAAAGGACGCGGGCTAGGGCATCTCATGGGCCCGAGCCTGGGTCTGCCATTTGTGAGCTGGGCAACCTAGAACCATTTGGTTACTCCAAGCTGGTTTTCTTATCTGCAAACCCAACCACTACCTCCCTTGCAGGACTCTTCTGAGGACGACATGAGGGACAGCATCTGTGAAGGACCTAAGTGCGGTGCCTAGCACCCAGTAGGAATTTAATAAAGGTTGGGTTCCTTCCCAGCAAATTTCAGCTTTCTGAAATTTTAAATTTTTTTCTCATTCCAATATGGCAGGCTCCTATTTCCATAACTACTGACAAAGTAACATGACAGCATCCGCACTAGAAAAATAAATTAACACACAGAGCACACATATAAATTGTCTAGGCAAAATAAAACAGCATTATTTTAAATCCGAGGCTTCCATCATTGGCTGCAAAATGGAATCACCTGGAGGAGTTGTAAAAACATCCTGATGCATGGCGCCTAGGGGGCTCAGTCGGTCAAGCGGCCAACTTCAGTTCAGGTCACGGTCTCACGGTTCATGGGTTCGAGCCCCGCATCAGGCTTTGTGCTGACAGCTAGCTCAGAGCCTGGAACCTGCTTCAGATTCTGTGTCTCCCTTTCTTTCTGTCCCTCCCCCACTTGTGCTCTGTCTCTCTCTCATTCTCTCTCAAAAATAAGTAAACATCAACAAAATTTAAAAACAAAAAACAAAAACCATCTTGATGCATGGGTCCCGCCCCAGAGATTGATGGAATTGGCCTGGCATGGGGACTTCTAAAAGCTTCCCAGGTGATTACAGTGGACGTCCGAGGTTGAGAACTTCTCTTACATGCACAGCAGAGCATGTAAGGGTGAAAACATCAGGGCGGGAGCGGCCGCTGTCCCCACAGTCCTGAATGGCTGTTGTTCTTGGTAACTGAGGATTTGCCAAATACACAGGGCTGGGAGACCAGATGCCCAGGCCAGCCGGGAGTCAGAACTGACACCTTTTCTCAACAGAGAACTTAAAAGCCAAGGCCCTTGGAGGATCCTTCAGGTAAAGAATGGACTAGAAAACAATTTGTTGACCAAAAGGGGACAATGACAAGGAAGTTTATCTGACTGAGTCCCAGCTGCATGGAACTGTACCCAGAAAAGTCTGTGACCAAAGCACTTCTCCAGAGCCAAGAAGTTAACATAAAGAGCAGTCAGAGTCTGATCGCGGTGCTGGAACACAAGGCCGAGTGACAGACAAAACCTCTCTGGGGACACAAGAGGCAGTAAGACAGATCAGGATACTCACAGCGAAAAACCGCAGATAGGAGCCCACAGCTCCAACCTACGGACACCTAAGAAAATCACCACACATGGTAGCCCACATCCATGACAAGTAGGGCTCTTCAGACTGCTATTATAAAAAGTATAACTTGAGCATTTTTAACAAAGGCAAAATCAAAATGCTAGAAAACTGACATGATCAAAATGTCATCAGAATGACATGATCTTGTTCAACTTGAACAAGAACCCCTTTGAATGTCTAAAATATTTTAAGTATTTAAAACAAAAAATAATAAAACCATTGGGGGGGGGACAATAGTTTTTGGCTTTTGGGATGGGGCCCTGCAGATCTGACAAAAAAAACAGAGTAACAAGAGAAAAACAAATGGAAGCTTATTACTGTGTACATCTCACACACGCACACACAAAATTCAGTGATGAGTAACTCAAGGGGGTGGTCAGAACTTTGGCTTACATAGCGTCTTAACAAAATAATAATAAATTTCAGAGAGAACAAAACAAAACAAAACACCAAACAAGCAACAAAACAGAACTTTGCACTTCTAGGGGTTACAAAGTGTGGGAAGGCAAACACTATATAAGGAACCTGATGGACCAGGTGAGGGCTGGTGAGTAAGGTGTGTTATGCAGGTTTCTCTGGTGCCCTCTCCGGGCTGGTAAGAGCCTAGAGCTGCTTTGGGTGATTCAGAGTAGCCCTGCCCTTCCGGGGCAGGGGGGCGGGGAGGGGCGCGGGGTGAAGGCAGAGAATGTGATTTTGGTCTGTTTTCAACTGTCTCCAGCTCAAAATAATCCTATGTCAAAGTGGCGTATTTCAGGGTGGCATACTCCAAACGCTTTCAATGCTCAATAGAAAATTTAGGAAATATCTAAACTATCTTTCAAAGAGGAAAAAAAATCACTTATGATTCCACCACCCAGAGATACTCGCTTATTAACAGTAGATTTCCTGCCAGTTTTCTAATCTATATAATCCTATATTTAAAACCTATGTAAGATCATAGTTGCGTTGTTTGGCATGTTATCTCTCACGTACTATCTCCATCTGTCTTCTTAGAGCAGACTGAACATAATGAAATCCTTCCTTGATGATTTAAGGACCATCAAGGGCTCTTGGGCATAGGATCGGATGACTGCTTGTGCCGCCCCTTCCCCCCACCCCCGGACCATCCACCTACTGCTTACGCCGGGCCTTCTTTCCACCACCCCTTTTCTAATTATGTGACTTTTAATAAGTGTTCTAAGCAATTAACTGGATAATTAAGCACATTTGAATTGTGACTAAAATAGAATAAATGGGATAAGGCATGGGCCTCCCCAAAAGGCTGCAGTTTAGCAAAGTGAAACCGCTTTTGGCCTAATTTCTGGTCCACCAGTGCTTCGCAGAAAGCAGATCCTGGGGCATGAGGCTGGGGCCTCCAGGCCATCCATCTGTCACAGTTGCTCTGAAGCCACCTTGCTTCTGTGAATTATTACAGTTGTATGAAAATGGAGAAGTAATTTTCCAGGTTGGGGTAGGGGAGACTTTCAGACCCATCTATCTAATTCTGAGCTGCTATTTTCAAAACACAGAGTCAATTTCTCTAGAAGAAACCACAATAAATGAACTGAAAACTATTCAACAGGTCGAAAGATATTTGCCAGAGTATCTGTGCTCAAAGCTCAAAAACTGAAATAACCATGGCGGATATTTCCAACTCACATGACCACTTTGGCCAACTTGACCTGAGGAAGGGAAAGACAGGAGACAGACGGAAGGGCCAACCAAGTGCCCGTCACCAAACTGATTCTGGAAACTGGAAATGTCTGACCTCAGGGCTCCTGACATTGGAAATAATAAATGCCTATTTGTTTAAGTTACTGTGAGTCTACTTATTGTTGTTGTTTTTGTTTTCGCTTCTACCGAAAGTGTTCCAGAAACATAGTCATTGACTCAAGAAACCCCAAGTCTAGTGGTTCAGACAGATTAGATCACAGTGCCCGAAAACAAATTCCGTGGCAGAAGTGGGACACAAAGGGTGCTCCGGGAACATGGAGGAGAGATATCTAAACCACCTGGAAGGTCAGGGAAATTCTCCTAAAGGGAACGACATAGGAACTGGGATTTGAAAGCACCGACTAGATAAAGAGAGGAAGAGAAATGCCAGGAAGAAAACAAATCAGTGAGGCTTAGAAAGTGTGTTGAAGACTTAATGTTCGTGATTGATATGCCTAGCCAATAAATGTGTTTTAAAAAAAAAAAAAATACAAGTACCCTTTTTCCCAACAGTTTACTAGGAAAAGTTTCAGATTTCCAGGAAAGTTGAAGGAACCGCAGGGTGAGTCCATCTCCCCGCCACCCAGATTCCCGGATTTGTGTTTCAGTCCACTTGCTTTACCACAAACCCTGTCAACTGGCGTCTTTCTCCCTACCCATCAATCTGTCTTATTTCTTGCATTTCCATGTAAGCTGTAGCCATCAGTACACTTC